ATGTTATATATGCAGACAGATCTTTACCCGCAATGTAGCCAAAATCAATTTTTGGGAAGATGGGTCAGTCAAATACTAGGAGGCAGCAAAGATGAAATGAAAAATGCTAAAGGGATTCTAAAATATTAATGCAAATGGTCTCATATTAGCTGGCACTCCTGAAGTAGAAATTGAAAAAAAATGAAGAGAATCTGATGAGGTTCTTCTTAATTAAATATTTACTTTGCTTAGTAATCTCATCTTATTTTTAAACAGTTGCAGAGTGTGTTTGCTAGAACAGAATTGATTAGCTGTTAAGTGCTTTTCAGTCCTGAGCAGATGCGGTTGTGTGCTCAAGAGCCTGCAAAATTGAGGCATTCTCTCCAACCCCAGAGCTCCCACTTCCAGAATTCTGATTGTTTGCTCATATGTTCAGCGTTGGCACTGGGTGCAATACTGGCTGTGCAGTGGAAGACCAGATGAATTTGCTGCCCCCCTCAAAAAAAATCCCAAATCTACAAGGAAAGTTGTTTTTATAATGAATGTTTGCAAAACTTCATATAAAATGCTATGATCCATATATACAGACCTGGTCACCCATGTTCATGGCACCACTGTTCACAAGAGCCGAAAGGTGGAAAGAACTCAGGTGTCTAGCAACTGATGATGGATAAACACATTGTGGTCCATCCATACAATGGAATATTACTCAGTTACAAGAAAGAAACAACCCAAGTTTCCACCAACAGATGATGGAGAAACACAATGTGGTCCATCCATACAATGAAATATTACTCAGCTATGAAAAAGAAGCAACCCACGAGTCCATCAAAAGATGGTGGAGAAATACGACAGGGTCCATGCATAAAAGGAAATGTTTCTCAGTCATAAACAGAAATGAAGTCTTGATGCTTGCCACCACATGGATGAACCTTGCCAACATGAAGGTGAGTGAAGTCAGTCAGTCCCCAAAGGACAAATATTGTGTGATCCCACTTACATGGTGGGCTGTGATCTTTATGGAAACAGATGGCTAAGTCTTTCTCCCACGGTTGGGTTTGAACTGCTGCCTTCAGGGCTAGCAGCTAAACACTTAACGACTGCACTATGAAGCCTGCTTCATAACCGACAAACCAAATTCACCACTCAGACCCCCACTGGGTTTCTAAAGCTGTCAATCT